AGAAAGAATAGGTGTCTAATAGTAGGTGATTTTAATGCCCCGCATATTAATTGGGAGGAATTAACATCAACTACTTCGTACAATTGTTTCAATAGGGAACTAATACTGGCAGTACTTGAATGCGCACTTGTGCAGCATATGGATGCACCGACAAGATACCATCCTGAACATGATCCGTCCACTCTAGACTTGGTGCTAACACACCAGAAGGAGGATGTTGGTAACATTAGGTGCCTGGCGCCGCTAGGCAGTAGTGACCACATAGTTATTACTTTTATGTTCAGGATCCAGGCCGTCATACATAGGTCAACAGCCGCTCGCCCAAACGTTTGGAAAGCGAATATACCTGCAATCCGAAATGCAGCAACTTTAGCTAACTGGTCTGTTAACACACACCAGACTGTCGAGGAGGCTTGGATGGGATTTAGGAATACACTAGAGTGCGTCACTGCACCCTTTGTACCTTGGTCTACGCCTCGAAAATTATCTCATAAACCACCTTGGATTAGTAATGAAATAAGGAGGTTACTAAGAAAACGAAAGAACTTATGGGACCGGTTTGCTGTGACTGGAAGGGATGAGTTTCGGGTAGAATACCGCAAAGTTCGAAACCTTTGCAAGTTTGAGATTGACAAAAGTCGTATAGAGTATGAGAGACAGTTAGTACTGGATTGTGTGCATTATCCAAAAAGACTGTTCTCGTATATCAAACGCAGGACTAAAACTAGTAGTGGCATACCGTCCCTCATTAGCAACACAGGAGAGGCTGCAGAATCAGACGAAACAAAAGCTGAGGTGCTCTCCGAATATTTCTGTGATGTTTTTTCGTCTAATCGTACCACCCAGGGGTGTAGCGAGGTAACTGGTGTAGTCCCTAAAATGCCCCCAATTGTGGTAGATGATGTAATGGTTCTGAAACTACTGTCTAAGTTGAAGCCAGGTAAATCACCTGGACCAGACGGACTTCACCCTAGATTGCTAAGCTCCCTGGCGGATATAATATACATTCCACTTACGGAGATTTTTCAGATGTCTCTGACCCAGGCTAGGTTACCCAGAGACTGGAAAGATGCTTTTATAAGCCCCATCTTCAAAGATGGGAATAGACAGTTAGTATCTAACTATCGGCCTGTAAGTCTAACCTGCATTATAGCAAAGGTGTTAGAAAACTCATAAGGGACCAGCTCTTAGCTCATACGGAAAAACATGGCTTACTGGCAGTGGAACAGCATGGATTCCGACCAGGACGATCCTGCTTGACAAACTTACTGTTAGCTAGGGAAGATTGGGTCGAGACCAGGGATAAAAACCATCTACTGGACGTTGTATTTATCGATCTTAGTAAAGCATTCGATAAGGTATCCCACTTAGGTCTTCTTACTAAACTTAAACATTTTGGATTAGACCAACGCTTATGCGAGTGGTTTAGTGACTACCTGATGGATAGGAGACAGAAGGTAAGGGTTAATGGTGTGCTGTCAGGGTGGAAAGCAGTACTAAGTGGAGTACCTCAGGGAACGGTACTTGGCCCCCTGCTATTCTTATTATACGTAAATGAAGTGCCAAAAATTCTTACCTCATCTTCCTTACTATTTGCGGACGATATTAAGATATGGAAAACCCTAAATAGTAGCGATGATAGGTTGGTACTACAAAACGATCTAGACAAATTGACCGAATAGACTAACCTTTGGAGTCTGGAAATTAATTCCAAGAAAAGCGCGGTAATGCACCTAGGTCAGAAGTCTTACACGTCGTACTCCATGGGGACACAGAACTGCCAGATGTTAGGGAACAAAAGGACTTGGGAATTATTGTTAGCCATGACTTAAAAACAACGGCGAACTGTAATCGAGCCGCGGCTAAGGCTTTTCGAATGCTATGGGCACTTCGAAGATCTTTCAAACGATTAGACGAGGGTATGTTCCAAGTACTCTATGCAACATATGTCAGGCCTCATCTAGAGTACTGCATACAAGCGGCGAGTCCATGCTTCAAAAAGGAGGCACATACCCTGGAAAGAGTACAGAGGGTAGGAACAAAATTAGTTAATGGCATCACACACCTTCCTTATGATAAGAGGATGGAGCATTTAAATCTCTTCCCATTATCATATCGCAGGAGGAGAGGCGACTTAATTTTGGCTTACCGTATATTCAAGGGTGATTTAGGGATTGACTTTTCAAACCTTCTCTCTCCCTCTAGAATACATTTACGGGGTCACCAGGAGAAGGTGCTCAAACCAAGGTCGAATAAAATACGTTTGGAGTTTAGATTCTCTCACACAGTGGTCAACGACTGGAACTCCTTACCTGATTCAGTAGTAACAGCTCCATCGGTGAACGCTTTCAAAGAGAAACTGGATCTCTACAGAGATATATATCGCGAGGATTAACATAGGCAACAAGAGTCTTCTATCCTTATAATCTGAATCTGAATCTGGAACTCCTATCTTTCACGTTTTATGCCAGATTAGTTGTGAACTTAGCTGTCATATCTGCTCTTTGCTTGTGTTCAAACATTAATTAATATAGGGTAATTTCGAGGTATTATGTGGGTAGTCCCGGGTTTTGAGGAATTGGTTTACATGTCTCCAAATTTTTTTCTGGGTTCTTTATTACTCCGATGTCAAAGTGCATTGAAAGTTCCCCTTGTTTTCCTGGGTAGGGAAGCAACTGTAAGAATGAAGTAATTGGTAAGTGGTTTTCTTGCTGAAGAAATACTGAAATGACATCACATCGCACAGTTCTATCATCTGGTGCTTTCTGGCAGCGTTGTCTGGTCCTTTTTGTTCCTCATTGTTTGCTCACTAACTAGTGTTGTGACCTAAATTATTATACCATATATGAACATTGTGGTCTTCCTACAACTTGCATTATTGGATCCAAACCTCTCCACTACTTTGCGAAATTTATGCGCGACTTGATGTGTTTTATTTGGTAAACTGAACGTTTACATGATTCAAACTTTAATAAGCACCGTTTCACTGTAACCCATCTCAGTGATTTCAAAAATTGTCTTCACAAATGAGAGTTGTTTTTTTGAATGGTAAGTTTAAGCTACTCTTGTGTGTCCTTCAAGTTGATAGGTAGATTCTGTAAGGCAAGTAAAAGAAACAAATTAAGTGTAAAACGTATAAACTCAGGGAATATCTGACATATATATTCCTAAAATTCGGCACATATAATTTCCATTGATTTATGGATAATGTTGGAATTAACTGTATATTAAAAAGAGATTTAAATGCAAGTCTTTATTTAGACTTATTATCTGTAATACGTATTTCATGCGCCGGGATAAAACCCACACTTATTATGTGAAGGCTTCTGATACGACCCGTTCACTCTGGCTGTGGTGGATTAAGTGGTTTTCGAGCTTGTGACCCGCTGGCTGCAAACTGGGCACTACAGCCGACGAGTCATATTACTAGATTTCTTTAAACATCTTCAGAATCCATGTTTGCCTTTGTAGAAGTGAGATTTATTTGAGGTGTCCATTAGGTCACCTACTAAGGTGGTAGAAAATTGTCTTTGAAAATTTAGGCAGTAAAATGGCTATACACACAATTGATATATTAATTTTCACACTTTATTAATCTGCATAAATCATGGGTCATAATCCCAGACTTATTAAGTCTCCCGAAATGTGAACTTCATATTCAGTTCAGCTTTAACATATCGCACATTTTCTTCATTTGATGACTTGGAGTCGATTCGAGGCCCCCTCTGTTATATCGACTATCTGTGCAAATGAAACATATCTTACCGAATTTTTCTTTCATAAAAGTGCTTTAACCATCTTCATGAGCCTATGATCATGTCTGAGTGTGACCTTATACAAGCCCCTCTTCAATGTTAGCCGTAAAGTATAAAGGCATTTTGCCGTCGTCAGTGTCAATATCTGCAAATTAATGGTTACAGATTAGAGTAATTGCCTATATGTCTATTTGTGGAAACTTCAAACTTAACTTTCAGAGGACGCTTTAAAACAGTATACGATTTAAGAGATCTTGCTGATTGGAAATGGTTGGAAAATTTGTGCCACTGGGAGAATACGTAATTTCGAGGACTACACGTAATGACAGTATTTTGGCGTTAGGTAGATCAAATCCCTTAAAACTGTCATTGATGGGTTTTACGGCTGATTGAATCCAACTCTGTTGGTAGCAGCTTCGATTTCAGTTGAGGTTTACCGTATCTGAAAGTTGGCTCAAGTACTCGGTTTACAGTCGATGGGTCATGGGTTTAATTCCTGCTCCACCTTCTTCAACATGGACAGCTGGGTAGTGCTATCAGCTCTCACATGATAAGTGCGGCTCACCCTGGTACATGAAGACTGTTTCGGCTAATTAAGCCTAAATATGATTAAGCTCTCACTTTCTGCCTTCCAGTTTTCAATGCTATATCACTGTCACATCAAATAAATTTATCTGATGTCTGATCATACCTAAAAAATAGTCACTACTTGAGGAGAGAAATTAATAATAGGCTATGAGGGCCTCTTTAGACTTAGGGGGTACTTCGTCGGTTGAAAACAGTATTCAAGTTGATGAATCACCTGTGGGCTGAAAAGTACTTTTGCTTCATGACATGTATCCTCATCATACATTTTTGTCACGCATATCAGAGTTTCAAAGTGGCAGCTTAAACCGTTTCAATGTCTGTTGAATGTTAAACTGTTTGATGACACCTTGAACTGCTGCATTTCTGTGTAGTGTTCTATGTTTAAACTCAGTCGATGATGTGCAGCAGAAGAGCTCCTCGCATATTTTTCACAATTGTTTCTGGAATAACGTTGTCATGTACCACCAAGACGAATAAACTGTATTACTATGATTGTTGTTAATTTTCTGTAATACGATAGTCCACGTGTTTCATTTACATGACAATGGTTTTTAACCATAATACAATATAGCTTTGCTTTTTTCGGTTATTGTATGACTTGCTTTATAGTGTAGTTTTAATGCAAATGAATGTATGTTTCCGAATGGTTTTTTAAGTATGTCATCTGAGTCCTGTGCATTTATGTACACGGGAGGCGTGTCAACTAATGTCGGGAATGAGACAGTTTTAGGGACTCCTGTCCCAGTTGCACATTCAACTGCTGGCGGCAGTAAATATTCAGCTTACAACAGAAATGGTCGGGCCTATTTCGATGAAATCCTACCAACTTCACCAGCCTTCCTAAAACAGACCTATGTTATTGAAGGGAGTAAAAACCATCAAAATCGTAATATTCACGATGAAGGCAATAAAGAAGCTAGCATTTTAAACATTAATACAATAAAGGGTAGGTGTTTAACGTTTATTTCGGAATGTTTTTAGGTCTTTCAGATAGTGTTTTAGATCGCAGCTTGCAGGTTCGTAGACACGAAGTAATTACGAAAAAGTTAAGTAAGTCTAGTTTAAAGTATTCTTTGTGTCTGCTTCGTCATTTCTATTTCAAGTATTCACATTTATTCTATTAATTTTTCGTCAGGTGAAAAGAACCAAATTAAGCAACTGGATACCTTTAATGTTGAACACTGTCAGCCCCCTTCTACGGATATTGAAACAGAGCAACAGAAAATTCAGTTCGATGACGAAGAGCTAAAAATGTTAGAAGATGCCTTTAGTGATTTCGATTGTGATACATCAGAAACAACTATCCCAACTCGCGCGTGTGAAACATTTGCCCGTCGAGTATCATGCAAACCACCGGAGACGGGGGAAGAGTGTTCGGAAGGCAATACAACATCAGTTCCTTCTTTACAGTCAGCCGACGGCAGTGGCGAAGCCGATGGTAGTATTGTTGATGTTGAAGCACAAGATCCTGCACAACCACATGTTGTTTGCCCGGTAAGCGAGTAAAGTATGTTAATTTTGCTTGATACATCTGTTTATAAGTGCTTTTGACCATGAATTCATATGTACTAAGTAATTTATTGCTTTTTCTACACTTGTAGCTCATAAGATTATTTACTAGACCTTTGTTTAGGTGGGTCATGGGTTAGAATCCAGCTTTACCGACTAAGAGTTGAGCAGCCTGTAAGTATCAGCTATCGTATAATGAATGCATATAGCTTATTACCAAGCTCTTTGACATACTTTTATTTCACTGATATTTTCCGAACATTTTTAATTGAAAAACGTGCTGCCAGTTTCTAATAATAAAGCCATTTCACAAGGTTACGAGGGAGCTGATCTGTTTCTTATGTGTCTTGTTTGTTGGTTTAGTTTAGTAAATTAAATGTATAGAATGAAGGTAACTTTCCTTAACGGTGAAATTTCAACGCTTGTATTTTATAATGAGTATTCAATTTATTTAGAATACATATACTGCCGTTTTGGAATGTCCCCTCTCTTGTTGAATTCATTTTCATTGATAGATATGCAAATTAGCCACTCAGACTAGTAGTTTCAAAACCCCCTCTATATGTTCTCTGTATTTTATTCGCATTGTATATGTCACTTGGCTAACACACATATGTTTTGGATTATACCATGAAAATGCATCCATCTCTAAAACCTGAATTTCTTTTCTTATCGTCCCTTTTTTATTTTGCATTCACAGGCTACTGGACCTTCTACTCAAGTTTCAGAAGGTCATTCAGACAATGCTACTGACAAGAAGTTAAGCTCACAGACTAAGGGAGTTGATCAGTCACTGATAAGATCTCGTGTCAAACTATATTCACACCTACCATGTCTTACTGGCTTATCATCTGCTCTTGAGAGTAATTCATTCGGCAACAAAGTATGCTGTTTAGGTGTTTTTCTTCCTTTTTGATACTTCGATTTAACTTCCTGATTGACGAAGACAAGGTTATTTGGTAAAAATGGTAATATGGATATACTTCATAAAACTAAGAAGTGACCATAGTAAAACAAAAAGTGGACTTGAAGTAAATTTTTAAGAATTAGTACTATTTTTCGAAAATTTTCAAAACGAGCGTATTATTAATGACTGGCCAATAGCTTACTTACTCGGCAGAGAGTCAAATGAAGAATATATTATCAGTTTACTAAACAGAAAAGTCAGTAGCATTGGGCTTGATATTTGTGTGATTTTTCCGCCTAAAAAGGAGTTATTTTTCGTGTAGTGTATTTTCTGCTTCGTTTTCTTCTTAGTACACTTAAACTCAGGTTAGCCGATCGACTGATTACCTTCGGCCTAATCAATCGATGGGAAAATCTAAAATTCAATTAAACCTTAAATTACTTATCAATACACTATGCAGCTTGTAAATAGTCCCAATAACAAACTATTCGCCTTAGTGGATTCAAACAAGTGAAACATCTCAAGTGGTATATGAATTTTATTTCCTAAATAAACATCTATCTAAGTTTCTACAATTTACGTGGAAGGTAGTCAGTCGATCGGCTAACCTGAGTTTAAGTGTACTAAGAAGAAAACGAAGCAGAAAATACACTACACGAAAAATAACTCCCTTTTAGGCGGAAAAATCACACAAATATCAAGCCCAATGCTACTGACTTTTCTGTTTAGTAAACTGATAATATATTCTTCATTTGCCTCTCTGTCGAGAAAGTAAGCTATTGGCCAGTCATTAATAATACGCTCGTTTTGAAAAGTTTCGAAAAATAGTACTAATTCTTAAAAATTTACTTCAAGTCCACTTTGTTACTTTACTATAATCACTTCCTAGTTTTATGAAGTATATCCATATTACCATTTTTACCAAATAACCTTGTCTTCGTCAATCAGGAAGTTAAATCGAAGTATCAAAAAGGAAGAAAAACACCTAAACAGCATACTTTGTTGCCGAATGAATTACTCTCAAGAGCAGATGATAAGCCAGTAAGACATGGTAGGTGTGAATATAGTTTGACACGAGATCTTATCAGTGACTGATCAACTCCCTTAGTCTGTGAGCTTAACTTCTTGTCAGTAGTATTGTCTGAATGACCTTCTGAAACTTGAGTAGAAGGTCCAGTAGCCTGTGAATGCAAAATAAAAAAGGGACGATAAGAAAAGAAATTTAGGTTTTAGAGATGGATGCATTTTCATGGTATAATCCAAAACATATTTGTGTTAGCCAAGTGACATATACAATGCGAATAAAATACAGAGAACATATAGAGGGGGTTTTGAAACTACTAGTCTGAGTGGCTAATTTGCATATCAATCAATGAAAATGAATTCAACAAGAGAGAGGACATTCCAAAACGGCAGTATATGTATTCTAAATAAATTGAATACTCATTATAAACTACAAGCGTTGAAATTTCACCGTTAAGGAAAGTTACCTTCATTCTATACATTTAATTTACTAAACTAAACCAACAAACAAGACACATAAGAAACAGATCAGCTCCCTCGTAACCTTGTGAAATGGCTTTATTATTAGAAACTGGCAGCACGTTTTTCAATTAAAAATGTTCGGAAAATATTAGTGAAATAAAAGTATGTCAAAGAGCTTGGTAATAAGCTATATGCATTCATTATACGATAGCTGATACTTACAGGCTGCTCAACTCTTAGTCGGTAAAGCTGGATTCTAACCCATGACCCACCTAAACAAAGGTCTAGTAAATAATCTTATGAGCTACAAGTGTAGAAAAAGCAATAAATTACTTAGTACATATGAATTCATGGTCAAAAGCACTTATAAACAGATGTATCAAGCAAAATTAACATACTTTACTCGCTTACCGGGCAAACAACATGTGGTTGTGCAGGATCTTGTGCTTCAACATCAACAATACTACCATCGGCTTCGCCACTGCCGTCGGCTGACTGTAAAGAAGGAACTGATGTTGTATTGCCTTCCGAACACTCTTCCCCCGTCTCCGGTGGTTTGCATGATACTCGACGGGCAAATGTTTCACACGCGCGAGTTGGGATAGTTGTTTCTGATGTATCACAATCGAAATCACTAAAGGCATCTTCTAACATTTTTAGCTCTTCGTCATCGAACTGAATTTTCTGTTGCTCTGTTTCAATATCCGTAGAAGGGGGCTGACAGTGTTCAACATTAAAGGTATCCAGTTGCTTAATTTGGTTCTTTTCACCTGACGAAAAATTAACAGAATAAATGTGAATACTTGAAATAGAAATGACGAAGCAGACACAAAGAATACTTTAAACTAGACTTACTTAACTTTTTCGTAATTACTTCGTGTCTACGAACCTGCAAGCTGCGATCTAAAACACTATCTGAAAGACCTAAAAACATTCCGAAATAAACGTTAAACACCTACCCTTTATTGTATTAATGTTTAAAATGCTAGCTTCTTTATTGCCTTCATCGTGAATATTACGATTTTGATGGTTTTTACTCCCTTCAATAACATAGGTCTGTTTTAGGAAGGCTGGTGAAGTTGGTAGGATTTCATCGAAATAGGCCCGACCATTTCTGTTGTAAGCTGAATATTTACTGCCGCCAGCAGTTGAATGTGCAACTGGGACAGGAGTCCCTAAAACTGTCTCATTCCGGACATTAGTTGACACGCCTCCCGTGTACATAAATGCACAGGACTCAGATGACATACTTAAAAAACCATTCGGAAACATACATTCATTTGCATAAAAACTACACTATAAAGCCAGTCATACAATAACCGAAAAAAGCAAAGCTATATTGTATTATGGTTAAAAACCATTGTCATGTAAATGAAACACGTGGACTATCGTATTACAGAAAATTAACAACAATCATAGTAATACAGTTTATTCGTCTTGGTGGTACATGACAACGTTATTCCAGAAACAATTGTGAAAAATATGCGAGGAGCTCTTCTGCTGCACATCATCGACTGAGTTTAAACATAGAACACTACACAGAAATGCAGCAGTTCAAGGTGTCATCAAACAGTTTAACATTCAACAGACATTGAAACGGTTTAAGCTGCCACTTTGAAACTCTGATATGCGTGACAAAAATGTATGATGAGGATACATGTCATGAAGCAAAAGTACTTTTCAGCCCACAGGTGATTCATCAACTTGAATACTGTTTTCAACCGACGAAGTACCCCCTAAGTCTAAAGAGGCCCTCATAGCCTATTATTAATTTCTCTCCTCAAGTAGTGACTATTTTTTAGGTATGATCAGACATCAGATAAATTTATTTGATGTGACAGTGATATAGCATTGAAAACTGGAAGGCAGAAAGTGAGAGCTTAATCATATTTAGGCTTAATTAGCCGAAACAGTCTTCATGTACCAGGGTGAGCCGCACTTATCATGTGAGAGCTGATAGCACTACTCAGCTGTTCATGTTGAAGAAGGTGGAGCAGGAATTAAACCCATGACCCATCGACTGTAAACCGAGTACTTGAGCCAACTTTCAGATACGGTAAACCTCAACTGAAATCGAAGCTGCTACCAAGAGAGTTGGATTCAATCAGCCGTAAAACCCATCAATGACAGTTTTATATTAATATTATTATTTCCTTTAGTTCCTAGGGGAACATAGGGCTTCAGCCATGCGTCTCCATTGCGTTCGGGTCTCTGCTAGAGTTTTCACCTGGTTCCAGGTCTGCCCACATGGTTTCATCTCCTCTTCACATGATCTCCTGCAGGTCACCCTTGGACCACCAACTCCTCGCTTCCCTTTCGGGTTCCATTCGAGGGCTTGTCTAGTTATGTCACTTGATGGTTTCCTCAGAGTGTGGCCAATCCATCTCCATTTCTTCCTGCCTATTTGTTTCACAATGGGTTCCTGCTGGGTTGGTTCGCTCATTGCCAGAGATCTTTGTTGCTGATCCTCTCCGGCCATCTTATCTTGAGTATTGAACGAAGACAACTGTTAATGAAGGTCTGTAGTTTGTTTGAGATGCTCTTTATGACGCGCTGGCCAAGTCTCTGATCCGTATAGTAGTACTGGCTTCACATTGGAGTTGAAAATCCCGATCTTATTTTTGACGCTGAATGCTGTTGACGTCCACACAGACTTGAGATTAATGAAAGCTTGCCTTGTTTTCCCGATCCTTGCTTTGATATCCTCGTCAGTTCCGCCTGTAGTTGAAACAATGCTTCCCAGTTGGGTAGGTAAAAGAGGTTGTTTCTTTCAGGTTCCTCCCATTTATGCTGATTGTTGTCTGTTGTTGTTGCTGTTGGTGTTGGCTAGGGGTCTTCATCACCTCCGTTTTCTCTATGTTCACCTGGAGTCCCTTCTTTGATGCTTCTTCTGCCAACTTGTTGCTTTTCACTTGCATATCTTCCAGTTTGTGGGAAATCAGACATATATCATCGGCGAAGTCCACATCCTCCAAGTTTTTTGTGTGAGTCCATTTTATGCCTGTTTCCTCATTACCCGCTGTTTGTCGTATTATCCAATCTACTGCAATCAGGAAAATCATTGGCGATAGTAGGCAGCCTTGTCTTACTCCTGTCTTCACTTCGAAGGATTCCGTGAGCTTCCCGTTGTGGATTACTTGGCATGCAGCATTGTCATACAACTGTTGGAAGAGATGTATAATTGTCGGTGGCACCCCGTAGTAGCGAAGTAGTTGCCAAATCACCTCTCGATCGACGCTGTCGAAGGCCTTTTCAAAGTCGATGAAGCTGAGATAGAGAGGTGACTGCCACTCCAAGCTTTGTTCAATGATGATCCGTAGTGTAGCGATTTGATCAATACATGACTTGTTTCTCCTGAATCCAGCTTGTTCCGGTCGAAGTTTTTCATCCAGGGCTTGTTTGATCTTTTCCAGGATGATGCGGCTTAGTATTTTGCTTGGGATGGACAGGAGCATAATTCCGCGCCAGTTCTTGCATTGACTTAAGTCTCCTTTCTTTGGTAGTTTGAATAAGTATCCTTTCTT